GAAATCCAGCTGCTCGTTGGTGAACAGTGAGTGCTGATATTTGTACTGTTCGTAGAATTCGAGCTAATTTAGGTGATTTTATTATTGACTTAAAAAAGAAAATGACAGAAAGAAAAATATTTGGCACTTATTGATGAGTATGAAAAACATTCCATACAATGGAAACCAAAACATGAATTATATTACAACAAAACTAAAAGATATGTCTGGGCAACTATTGTTAAAATTATGAAATGTATCTGAAGACACTAAGAACAAGATTAAGAGTATTCTTTTGAGTTGAAAAGGGGAAATATTTATCTAAAAATCTTCTGTAATCAAATTTTTTAATGTATACCATCCACATGCTTCAGCAATTTTGTATTTTTACATTTTAATAAAAGGCATCTCATCCACTTTCATTTTATTATTTTTTTTTGTCTTTTAATTTGTCTAGTAACGAAAGTAAGTATGAGCATTAAGCATTAAATAACCACTTATTACTATTATATCGTTCATCGTTAAATCCCACGAACACAAACACTAAACTGCGGGAACAAGTCAAATACAGCAAACACTTCGAATACCACAAGCTTTTTCTCAAAAATGTTTGGCCTGTTCGTCTGTGTGTTCTGCTTGTTCGGAGTAAAGTTTAGAACCTTTTCATCACTCTCAGTTAAGTAGTAAAAGCAATGTAAAAGTGGGTACTAAGCATATTATTCTGAACAAACTAAAAGAACAGAAAGTGCACATTTGAATACAGCTAATCAGTACCCGCCTCTGAATCGAAGTGTACGCGCTAAACATTATTCACGCCTTAGGCAAGTTCCATATTAATATCTAGATCAGGGGACGGCAAGTAATTTTAGGTGGGGCCTGGATACTTTTGAAAATTTTTAACGAGGTCCAGAAAAAAAATTCATATTACTAATTTTTTATTTTAACTTGGACTCAAATTTAATATGCTTACTGACCATTAAGAACGCAACCAGTCACACAATTGTAAAATACTAGAAAAAATAATAAGGGTGGCACTTAAACGTAAAAAAATATATTTTAAATAACCTATTTGAGTAATTTATACTTTAAAAAAATTTTTGGCGGTCCATTATTTTGTAAAAATAGTAATTTGATTTTTTATTCGTTTGTTTCAAAATAATAGGCCTATGAAATATCTGTATAAAATTAGAAACCAATATAATGGTAGTAAATTAATTTACATACTATTGTTGAATGAAAATGCCAGTGTAAATGCCTCAGGGGTGGTTAATAAACGATACAAACAAATAGACTGAACCGTAGATATTTATTGAAAACTAAACGTCTGCTCTCTTTACAATCATTCTACAGACTGCCTATTCCTTTTTGGTCTCCTCCAGAACTAGCAACATAGAGATGTCGAAAAAGTATCAATTCGTTACATGAGTACTTGTTACTCGACTGGATCCAAAGTAACGATTATTCGATTGAAAAAGTATTCGTTACTTTTGATTATTTGATTACTTCTTGGATATAAACAATATAGAGTACTTTATCTAATGGAATATGGATACTTATTCAATGCTCACTTGACACTTATTCATATTATTATATCGACAGAAAACGAGTACTTGTATTATTACGTTGCATTCAATTTTATTTGTTTTGTGTACCATCTTTTTATATCTACTTATATTAGAAAAAATATTTCCTATAAAAGAGTTAAAACATGCATAAGAGTGTGTATAATATAATACATAATCTAAAAAATATGTACTTTCTATTTTTGTTTATTTTAAAACTGATTGTTTATTTTCGAAATATATATTTATATTCGTAATCTGATCGTTGCATTATAATTCTTTTTTTTTATCAAACAAACCTTAATATTTCAGATATTACCACTGCATTTCTTTTTTAAGAGAAATTGAGGTTAGATTATATTCATAATATGATGCGGTTTGATATTTACTCGTCTATAACTTACAGTACTGTATATCAATTAGGTAATTACTGATTACTATTCTATTTAGAATATTTTGAGTCCACTACTCATAGTAATCAAAGTAACGAATACAAAGTACCGATTACTTAAACTGAAAGTAATCGGTACTCATGATTACTCAAAAGTAATCATATTTGACATCTCTACAACACATATTAGAATGACATCACTCGCCTCACACCTGCACATACACTCAGTCGTCCGTCATCTTATAAACCGCTCAGTGTCTATACAGGGTGCTAACACCAGCTATGATAAAAAAATCTTACAAGAGGATTTTGAATATGTTATATTTCGGCCTCATTAGTCACATGTTGATTAAATTGAAAAAAAAATAAAAATTATCAACTCAATAATTATTAAGAGATAAAAAGAGTAAATTAAAAATTGGCATATGAGCACAAACTTGTAACTTGCAAACAGAAGGAGGCAATTTGAAAATCCCATTAATTAAACATTTGTGAAATAAAATTAGTTTTTATTTGGTAGGTATATGAATGAACATTTATTTGCTCTTCATAATTTTATCTGCCCGCAACTTCAAAACAAATAAAGATTGACCTACCACTTTCATGTTTTTTAATCTGAGAATTAAGTCTACTTTATGCCTCCAAAATTTGAACATTAACAATATGGAACACCTTGTATGTAAATGACTCTAGATGACTCCTTTCAGGGAAACGTCAATAGACTTTAAAAGCTATTATCCATAATTTGTAATTGTTAATAATTATATAAATATTTATGTTATTTTCTGTAATATAAACAAAATAAACATAAAAATAATAGTCAATAAATCAATATTATTATTACTAGTAGTTTTCTTCTAAAATAGGGAAAGTTAGGACAATTTTGTGTTTTACAATTTTAGTGTTAAGTAATTGCTTTTACTATTAATAACTGTAATAAATCAGAATTTAGAAATACATTTTAATCATTTATATTTTCTTTGTAGGTGCGATTCAATAGGATAATTATATCTTAGTAACAGGTACAATATATGGTTTCCTTTGTTTATTTTTAAATACATCAATAAGAAATTGAAAAAGTAAAATCCCACTAAACATTTTTCAGTTTTTGACATGTTCCAGAAACGCTTCCATTTTTCTTGAAACGTTTCATAAAAAATCCGTGCAACGTTCTGGTAACCCAAAAGAAACAGAAGATGTCCTCCCCAAAATACGTTTCCAATGAAACGTTTCAAAAAATTAGTTTCAGTAACATTCTTTTGATGTTCCATTTATGCACTCGATATTTTTGTTTTACGTTTCAGTATATTTTCAGAAATGTTTGAGTAACATAATAATTTTTATACCATATTGTTCTCATAATGCTCTCAACTTTAGATAATTTCCATTTCAGAAGCGTTTTTGAAACAGTATAAACAGTGTGAGTAATTTTTTAAATATTTCTAATACTCTTTTGTAATATTTTTATTTGTATTGTGAATGACTTAATTCGTAATCCAGACAATTTTTTCTGATTTCTCAAAAAATTTAACTGAAAAATGTTATTGTATATTAAAAAAAATAACTGCTCTTCTAGTTTGGGGATGCAGCAACTTTTATCAAGAATTTTTTTCTTTTTGAGAAGCCACTGAAAAAGTTTCTAATATGGATTACGGATTCTGCCATTCATCGTACAAATAAAAATGTCACAAAACAATATCAGAAGCATTTTAAAAAAGCTACACATCATTTTATATTGTTCAAATACGCTTCTGAAATGGAAATTTTCTAATGTTGAGACCATCATGAATATGGTAACAATGACGAAATGATAATTAAAAAAATTAGTTATGATAATGAATCTTGAAATGGTAGGTACATGAAAAACAAATAACATTACTGAAAAATAATATAAAGAAGTTACAATTTCTTCTACGCATAGTCAATATTACATCTAACCTTTTTATAATAAATTTTACAGTAGAAATAAATAAGATACAAAAGGATATCTTGAAAAAATAAATATTTGTAGGTATACTTAAACTCTTTTATTTAAGCATTCCTATACACGTACACAAATATAAACATTTGTACAAAATATAAAATAAATGACATATATTTCACTTGATTCTTCCGTATTTCAAATAGTTCTCCGAAACGTATAGTTCCATGTTCCATTTTTTTTAGTTTTTGTCCTCTTGTCTTTAATAGGTATTAGGTAGTGGGTATAATAACTATGTTTAGGTAGATGTGACGCAAAATTCGAAATCTCTACACATATCGTTTTAAACATTTTGCATCAATATTCATTATTTTATATGCACCTTACAATAACCACAACTGCACACACTATAAATTATCACATAAAATAGCATCAAAGTAACGATCATGGAGACTATTCTCCCTGGTAACGATGAAGAACAACGAAGCCAGGCAAACGGGTAAAGGCAAACCGCAAACCTAACCTAACACCTAACATAATACGAATTGAAAACGGCACACGAGAAATAAATAAATTCGGGCTGTTACGCGCGGTCTGCGCAAGTCACGAACATACATTTTTTCTAGACTTGTGTTATAAATATGCTACCACAATTTTTTTTCTGTTTATGTCTGGTTGTACATATAACAAAGGCAAATGAACTAACGCTTGCTATAATGATGGGGCTTGAGAGCAAAATTTAAGTAATGCCGAATGGAAGTTCCATAAGATAAACAAAAGCAAAGGGTTGTTTGTTTGTCGTTGTTACGTTTCCGAGATCGAAAGGGAATGTTTCGAGTAATGTTTCAAACTCTCTTCAATTGGAATGTTTCGGCTATGTTTCACTAAGTAAGTTTTCAAGTGCTACATTTCTGTAATGAAACAGCAACGTTTCTAGTTATTGTTTCAAATGTGTAGTAAAACAGCTCATTTGCAACGTTTCATTTACGTTTCGTGTTTAGTGGGATGTTTTAAAAGATTTTTACATTTCTGGGTAAATTATAATACATATTAAAAGTATATCTTAAATAGTATTCTAATAAGATTAAGATATTTACCGGGCGTTTTTAAATATTAAAAATAAACAAAAAATGATCAATTAACTTACCGTCGTTTCATCCTCGTGTAACACTTGGTCATATTCACTCATAGCCACACAGAAAATAATCGCGGTTACGTCTTCAAAACAGTGAATCCATTTCTTTCTCTCCGATCTTTGTCCACCAACATCAAATAATCTAAAATATAGAAGATCCTTACTCTGCTATGTATTCTATGTACACAATTAAATGTAAAACGATAAACTAAAGCTCAGAGCAAAACAAAGCAATTGACCACATATATATATATATATAGCTCAGTACCAAAATGTTTCATTAAAAAGTTGCAGTTCTTCAAAGAAATTTTTTACTAAAACTCAACTTTTAATTTTAATTTATTTTAACTGAACTTAAATATTTCAATGAAATTTAGTATAGGGGATTTTTTTAAGCCGACTGAATATAAGCTTATTTTTATACCTAAAATATAATACATTCACTAAAAACACATCAAACAGTTTTTTGCAATTTTTTTGTGGCCTACTTCTAAATTAAAAAGTAAATCTTTATCTGCAGTTTGCAGAAAAGTAATACCCCAGGGAGGAACATTAGGAGCTGTATTTGTAAAGATACTTACTTAAAATTAAGGTTTTTAAATGAAAAATGTACTTCCACTATCCCCGTAGTTTTAACTCTTGTTCGTAGGATGTCTTGTTCAGTGGGTTGATAGTCTTTGGCTCCTAGCCGATCTAGATCATCTAAGAAACTAGAAAAGAAAATTAAATAAATAAACAACTGATTATGGTAATATTGGAAAAATTATAGCATTAATTTTGATCCGATCCTGGTCTTGTAAATTTCTACTTGTAAACTTAATAATAATAATAATAATAATAATTATTATTATTATCATGATAATAATAATAAT